TTGATGGGTTCCCCTACTCATTCCTAACTAAAGCAGGAACTAAAGCGAAGCAATACTACCTTGACTTGGTCAATTTTTGCTTTATTTCAGGCTATATTCCTCCTACCTGGAAGGTTCAGGTTATTATGCCGCTGTTAAAAGCTGGCAAGGACCCTGGTGACCATTTGTCGTACAGACCTATTGCCCTATCGTCCATACTTATTAAAACTTTTGAACACCTCATCAAAAACCGCCTTGAATGGTTGGTTGAGAGCCAGGGGCTGCTTCCGGCGACTCAGTTCGGCTTCAGGAAAGGTCTGGGTACGGCTGACAGTGTGGGTACCCTCACTTCAGCCATCCGACTGGCCCTTAGCAGGCAGGAGTCGTTGGTCGCAGTCTTCTTGGACATCTCAGCGGCCTATGATTCTGTCCTCTTACCCCTTCTCAGGCAGAAACTGCAAAAGCTGAGAATCCCGAGTAGGATCTGCCGAATTATAGCCCACATCCTTTCCGATCGTACCCTCCAATTAAGAACTCCTGAGGATAACCCAGTACGGAGGTCCTCCTGGAAAGGTTTACCTCAGGGGTCAGTCCTTAGCCCCATCCTTTATAACATTTATACATATGACCTTCCCTCCTGTCTAAATTTTAACTGTAATGTCCTTCAGTATGCTGACGATATCGCACTAATGGTTACTAACAGCTCTATAACAGACGCCGCCCACTCCATCAACGTCTCTTTGGCCTCATTAAACCAATGGCTTCTGAATCACGGGTTATCTTTAAGCGCCCCAAAAAGCTCAGCTGTCATTTTTACACGCAAACGACGCACTCCGGATCTTCGTGTAGAGATAGACGGTCAGGATATCCCAATCAAAAGCAGTGCTAGATTCTTGGGGGTTTATCTCGATTCAAAGATGTCTGGGGCGGATCACATAAACACTGTGGTTGCAAGGTGTGAACGCTCAGTATCGATACTCAGAGCTCTGGCCGGGGTATGGTGGGGTGCACACCCCTACTCATTGAAGCTCATCTATAATGCATTGGTCAGAAGTGTAATGGACTACTGTTGCTTCCTTATTGTTCCTTGCAATAAGGGTGCATTAAAAAAACTAGACTCCATTCAGGCCAAATGCCTTAGAATAATTATCGGAGCTATGAAATCATCCCCCATAAATGCTCTTCAGGTTGAATGTGTAGAGCCTCCCCTCAACCTTCGAAGACAATACCTGGCAGACCGCTTCATCTCAAAAGTCCTCTCCCTCTCATCACACCCCCTTCTTCCTATCCTAGAACAAATCCACTGTTCCTATAGGTCCTCTTCCTACTGGAACAATAAACCTGTCCCTCCCGTGATTGTCAGGTACAGGGAGCTTAAAAACCTCTCTGCACCCATCAGGCAATATCCTGTACTCCCGGTTTTCTCTTCCGCATATGAGGTTATCCACTTCAAGCCAAAGGTAATTCTAGGACTCGGCATCTCGAAATCCTCCGTAGATGCTGCGGGCGAGTTTGGGCGCGCTTTGAACAGTTACTGGAGGGGCTGGAATATTTTCTTCACCGACGCGTCTAAACTATCCCGAAATGGAAGTACAGGAGTAGCAGCGTACTTTCAAAATTCGAAGATCGCCCTCCTCTCCAAGTGTCCCCCGGAAGCATCTGTCTTCACGGGAGAATGTGTTGGCATTTTAGAATCAATAAAATTTATTAGAGCACACAACCTTAGAAATTCTGTTATTTTTTCCGACTCCCGAAGTAGCCTACAGTCTCTCAACCAAGACCAGCTCCATTCCCGAACTCATAGCAGTTTGGTTGTAGAGATAAAGGCGCTTCTTTTTTCTTGCTTCAAAGATGACATAAATATCGAGATCGCTTGGATTCCTGGTCACTCTGGCATATGTGGTAACGAGTGTGCGGATTCATTGGCCAAATTTGCGGCCTCGAATGAGGTCGAACGCCAACACTACGTTGTGTACGGGTATGATATACGTGCCGACACAAAACACAAGCTGTTTGACTCATGGGCTGCAGTGTGGGTAGAAACTTCCAAACGGAAAGGTGCCTACTATGCAGTTGTCCAGCCCGGCATCCGACGGAAACCTTGGTTTTCCAAGTACCCTAAGCTTCCCCGTCATACTGTTTCATCCTTGTGTAGGCTCAGACTCGGCCATTGTAGTAGTCCGGTCTTCCTCAACAAGATCCGTGTCCGCGACAGCTCGCTGTGCGAATGCGGCCTTGATGAGGGAACCTTAGAACACATATTTTTTTCGTGTCCTTTAAATTCCCAATCCTTTGACCTCTATAAAAAACTTCCCAGTATCCAAATCCCACTCCCAATCAGTTTCCACCTCCTTTTAACTCACTTTTCCCACAAAGTAATTATTTATATATGTAAATTTATGAATGAAAATGTGATCAAAATGTGACGGTGTCCAATGATGTATATTATCTGTCTATATTGTGTATGTCCCCCAACTATTTTTTACACCACTGTATAATACAGTAAAATAGTTGATAATGTTTATGTTTTACTAACCCAATTGTTTTGTCCTTTCAGCTACTAACAACTAAAAACTACCGCAAAGTTAAGTTCGACGGTCCAATAATTTTGCCGTCACCACTCGACACTGGCAGTATAGTCGACAACACCATATTGGAGACTCAGTTGCCAAAGAAGAAAAAAAAAAAAAAAAAAAAAAAAAAAATCAGTGACGTTTTAAATGTAAATAATGTTCATGCTCGCTTGATTTTATGTGAGCCTAGTATCTTCGCGAGTAGGTTTCATAATTTCTTATTGATTTTATCTTAATTATTGCGGATATATGCTGATTAAATTCTATTTCTCTTAACAGTCTTTAGTGATACTTAGAAACCGTCAAATGTGTTTAACTAGAGTTGATTTTCATTTCATGTTTCCTCTTATTTATCTAATGATATTTTCTTCATTAATGTCGGTTTCCTGCGGTGCTTTTAGAAAAGGAATGCATTGGATATTAAACCTTTTTGTTTGGTCTTTGGTTGTATTGAAAATTGGACATGAAATTTCGAAATGGGCTTGTTCTAAATCACATTAATATTATAAATGTGAAAGTTTCTTTGTTTAGATGTTTGTTCGTCAGTCACGCTGAAACTACTGAACGGATTTTGATGAAATTGCGTATACTAGCAGGGTATAGGCTGACTTAGATGATAGGATACCTATTATATATGACCTTTTATCCCGATTAAATGCTCCCATTGGATAAAACGGGAATCATATTTTACGCGTCAAAGTCGTGGGCAACTACTAGTTAATAATATTATCATTCAGAGTAAAATACATAGTAGCTTCTGATTAGTGGTTCCCTATGTGACAAAATTGATTGGAGAAAATTCGTTATAATTTTGAAGCATACCATTTTTAAATTATGTAGGTACTTATTAAATGTTCAGTAGTCCTGCAAAGACACAAAAAATAACTCAGTTTTACATGCAAACATGTAAATTACAACTGTATTAAAAATTTTGTCAACTATCTCTTTCACTCCTATGCATTTCAGTAACCGACCGTTACATTTCAAAAAATTCCTTGTTGACGCGTGGGAACTGCGCGGGCGTCGTTCCAGGAACGTGCGCTTGCGATCATCAAATCATTTCTGTACATAGAGTATTTAATACAACTTGAATTTTCCTCATAAATGAGGGCGAAACGTGTTTTATTTAGCTTAAGAATTTATTAATATTAATATTTAAATACATAAACTATATGTGTTACAATAAACAGTTAAGATGATTTGAATGTAAAATATATTTTTTTTATAATTTAATTAATTAGGTATGCAGTAGATATATGTTTTCAGTGTGAAGTTAGTGAAAGTGTTGTTTTAATAAAGATTTTTAGGTTATTTTCGAGTTCACTCCTATTATATATGATTGTATGACACAGTTATGGGCTTATGGCACAGATTTTCATTACGGCTTTTTTACAACTTTTATATACTGTCGTTTGTCGCTTGGTAAGCCATTATATTATTTACATCTTCCAATTTAAAATACCAACATATTTTAACAAGTCTCATTAATATTTTCCTCAATTACTCGTGTCGCGTCTCTCACATAATCTTTGGTATCCATCACCGTGTGCCAACCTGCCAACTGGCCAATCATCCAATTTTGGCGTAAACTCACATTACAAAAATTATTCTTTGCACATTTATTATGTTTACACTGCTCTCTTTCGCGGAAACCTTCTCTTTAAATGTCCGCGGCTCGTTGAGAACTGTACGGGAAATACAAATTTGTATTTACCGTTGCAAATTGTAATGATATCGGAATATCGATCTTAGTGTTACGTGTTAAGGTGGTGGTAGAGGGTAAATGTGTGTTTGGTGTCATGGTATCTATGAAAGGAGTAATTATTATCGTTTCTTACTTATAACTTTTAATTGATGTTGACGGTAAAATCAATGTTATTGTTTTGTTTCGTGATACATGAGCTCGAGCATTGATTGTGTAGAACCGTTATTGTATTACTGGGAATCAAATCGCAATTGTATGGAATTGATAAAGTAATTATTTTGTACAATAGTGCTGGTGATTTTGTTTTTTGGTAGAAATAATTATTTTTAATTGCGGTCGTTTAACAAGTGACTATGAACCTAACATCACCTAGCACCTTCTATTTTAATACTTAGGTATTTTTATAACTATGTATTTATAAAATTGTCTATGTTGGTGGTATGACTACGTTAAAAACGTATACGAGGAAGTGGCCGAAATACCACATAATTCTATATTAATTCTTTTATAATTATTCGGTACAACATTTCCCATTGGCCATTTGTAATATTATTTTCCGCAAAATAATTAACTTTCTCTTCAACACGATCGAAGCACAGATACGTGAAGCACTAGTAAACGACAAAACTGAAGCCTCTTTAGTATGACAATATGAATTATTCTCCACTCGTCCCATATTATTTGTTAGCACATCTTATTGTTGTAATGTCTCACATTTCACTCAAAATGGCATTTCTCTACAGACGCGGGCGCGAGCTGGCGAGTTATGGCCGATGGAACGGCCTGAAGGCATGCCAGTTATACAATCGCTAGAGGTCATGTGTGGGAAGGATCACATGGACGTCCATCTCACGTTCTCTCACCCCTTCGAAGGCATTGTCTCGTCAAAAGGTACGTATTGTGTGTCCATTTTGATCATGAATTATTAAGCGAAGCTTTTATGTGCGTGGATATTATTTATTTATATTGTTAGTGATGATATGTCGTCTGTAAACAAGGATGAATTGATTTGTAAAAGTTAAATTGATGACGGTCTTCTTATAGACAATAGTGAAGAGACTGCCACTGATAATAATATGCCATCTTACTATATACGTATTAAACATTTTATTAAAAATGAAACCTAAGAATAATTGACCTCAAATTGTATTAACATTGTCAAAAATAATGAAAGCAATGTAGTTATGGATGCACAACAAACTAATAATGGTACTACCCATCATACAACCGTAGAGGCACACGAGGAAAATGTTAGAAACCGGTGTATTCAGACCGCCACTAATTGTTGTGGTAATTGCTAAAGTTTCACTAACAATTATGACGGATACATACCTACTTAGTGAATTATTAATAACACATGCTCCAGTTGCGAAGCTTAAGTACTCGACACAGTTATATACTGTACTTGGATTTTGTTTAATTCAATTTATAGTAACGTTGTAATTTGTGATGATATGAGTAATTTCTCCGATAACATCTACTGTTGGTCTAGTTTTTTAGTTTTCTTTGATAATTTGGACCGGTAAAATGTTGATACAGATGTAGGCAATGAAAGTGTTTTTAATGTAGGTTAATATGAAAAGAAACTAGCTAGAATCCAAAATGTGGAGGGCACAGATGATAATTGGGTCAAGTCTAGATTTAGAATCTAGTAATAGAGAAGAGGTCAAAATATAGGACAGAAAGGAGATTGGAAGTACAAGACATTACTATCAATAAACATGTCGCACAAGAGTGCTTCTGAAGTTTTCTTTAATAGCACGATCATAATGTCCAAGAATGTCGTTAAACGCGAAATAGCGACCTAAGTTCAGTTACACAAAGTTCGATTTAGTTTGCGATAGAAATAACAGTGAAGCGACGACAGACGACATACGTACGTCTAGATCTCCATATAGATGTCTACGTACATCGTTTGACGTGTTTATGACTTTTTCTTTACCTCTATTGCTTCTATTTTCAAGATTTTTATTCTTATTATTGACATTGTTTGCTGAAATTGCATTGCGAAGGTGCATAACTAGTTTGTTTGAGCCATATCCACAAGTTGTATACAATTAATGTTAATTAGTAATTGGGCCTCCGGTAACCTCACTCATACGACGAAAAATCTGCTGCCACTTTCTTGCCGAAGCATGGCTCTCCTACACTTGAACATAACTACAAAATAACAATATTTTTCCATTACTCATATCACTGCTTCTTTAGTCAAGTAGTCGCAAGTACGACTGCTAAACACAAACATTTAGTTTCGAGACTCACAGTTTGCCAAATAAATTCATTAAACTAGATAAGATTTCTAGAAGTTAGTATTTTAGAAGGCCGTTCATTTATTTTATCACCAGTACGTTCTATTTTAGCTTTCATTACTTCTCTATTATCATTCACGGGTTAAATTACTTCTTCATTACACGATTAAATATTTAATGCTTCCTTCTTGCTCTCTAAGCATCCTATGGTCTTTATCCCAACACATTACTTTAAGACCATTAGTACGGTTTATCTATGCAACGATACTGAGCTAATGTAAATAAAGTGCAAGCACGTAATTAGCAATTAACGTACATAAAGTCGAGGCTTTAATTGTAGGACTTCGTTCATTGTGAAGTACGGTCTTCTATAAAAGCAAGGAATTTATTTGTTTTTTAGTTTCTTTAACTTCTTTATAAGTATAGATAATTCCAAGATGTGGTTTGGATAGATTAATTTCTGGTGTGACATTTCTTTCTCACCTTTTTTAGTTCTTCCGTCATCTATTACTTGCCCTTATTCTACATCAGACGTCATTCTATAACGAACTCTAAAGTATTGGTTTTTATTGACCAATTTGTATTATGAAATGTACTTGACATTACAAATCTCGAAAATTAACTTTTTATCGCATCAAAAGTAATTTTCCTTGTCATATAACTAATAATTAATCTGATAATGACATTGACATGTTCTCAGGTCAACATGGTGACCCCAGATGTGTGTACGTGCCGCCGTCAACGGGACAGACGTACTTCTCATTTCGGATCGCGTACGCCAAGTGTGGCACTAAACCAGGTAATTATACTGTTAATTATTAATTATATGGTAATTATCATTATTTTTAAAGACTTCTTCATTTTTGGTGTGGATGGTTTTATGAAGGTTTTGTGATGCTTTCGGAGTAATATCTCCATTATAAGTTCCAAGGCATTACTTGTAGTGGTTTCGGTTCTCAGATGTAATCAGGATGATATACTTACTTGTATGACATACAAAACTATAAGTAGTAGACGTTTTAGTAAAATTCATGTACATAAACTATACAACGTTATCAAAACAGGAAACAGTCCAAGTGTGTACCAGCTTCCGAATTAAAAAGACCGCAAAAATACCTCAAACATCAGAGTCGTGGGAATTCAAATATCTCACAGCAATTTGCGAATATATTCCTTACTGACAAGTCATGCAAAATAAAGGGAAACGACGAGCTAAGGCAAAATCTACACAGTGAAGGTAATTAAATCTCGTCTCGGTTGGATTAGTATAAATGGACCGTGAGTAGTGGCGTGAAATCAATAAATATATCCGATGCCTAATGATGCGAACTCGCAATTAGTCGATATAATAAATCGATTAAACAAATCGATTGATCGTACACCAATCTGGCATTGTTCATGCTCGTCCTTTACCTTCGTTTGAACTGTTACTACAATCTAGTTCAAACTGACTGACTCTTTATGATATACACAATTTCTTTTGATGATCTAATTATACTATAAATGAATACGGAAATTGAAATAATTGACATGAAGGTTTTGCTTTTAGGCTATAACAGCACTAAAAATGTATTGCAAATTCGAGGCGAAAGTGAAGAACAATTTTATGACTTAAGCGTAAAATTTCACGTTGGATAAATACAGCCAGTAAAAATATAGGAGGTACACGCCTTTTACGTCTGTTAACAGCAAGCATCTTAAAATAAATTACTATTTTTAGTCTATCTTTCAAAAAACTATTCAAATATTAATTCATTAGTTTTAGTCTTTGTAAGCGTTTGCCATGTTAATTAAAAACGTCCGTTGTCTGTTATTTGCATTTTAGATTTATGATCTTATTCACTTTATGCTATAAAATTGTCTATTTTTTTGGTAATACTCATTTATTAAAAAAAAAACTTTTTTCTTGTTTTATAAATTCTGGTTGACAGATGAACTTTTATTTTATTTTTATTGGGTAATAAAATCACTGGGAAAGCCTATGTCAGCATTTATAATTATCCAAGAACATTTTATGGAGTGTTTATCGCTATTGCTGCTTCCAAGCAAATGCGTTCCTATATTTTTAGTTTTACTAACAAAATGAAAAAAACAAAATAAGTAAATGTTGATGAAATAGCATCAGATCAAGCATTAAGAGTTAATGAATAAACTAAAGCTATACAAGATGACGTTAACGATGAAACTCATCCAGTCACCGTTGATGTAACTAACAATGAAGTAAATAAATACAGAAAAGATATGAATAAGGAAGATGACAAAAAGGCCAACGATGTAAGGCTCGTTAATCCAACTGCTTTTATAACTAATTGCTTGTTTACACTTGACTGCAAAATCGCGATCCGTCACGCCAATGAAGAGAAACGACTGGCTATTCATTCCTTTAGTAAATCATCTAAAATTGTGATGCGTAGACATTTATGAGCACAAACAACCGTTACATTTATTATTATTGTTGTTCTCATTTGTGACGCTTTCGAGGATCTGCCTATCTTGGACAAGATTTTGAAAAACGAATCAGATACGATATGTAAAATGTGGCAATGTCCGGCCAAATTTGCTAAAACTTAAAAACTTATAAAGTACAGAGTCCAATCAGCATTGGAACTGATAAACAGTCATTTAAATTCAACCAAAACTCATCGTTTGAACATTTTTGCTTAGTGTAGACATTTTTTATAGTCTTCTCAACAAAGGCCAGTTTATTATCAACTCGTTAAATGTAATACGAAGTCTATTAAACATTATGGTATTAAAGGACCACAACGAGGACAACCAACTATTCAACCTGTCCAACGATACTGTCTTGGAAGGTACAAAGTTATCACCGGAAAGGGCTCAGCATACACCCACTAGAGTACGTGGGCATTTAACAGATTACAATGACTTTATAGACAGTCTGTTAACCTAGAACACAGGAGAAGATTTAGGGAACTGTTAGCTTTTGGGTCAAAATTTAGGGGTTTGGTATATGGATTCCGAAATTGTATATTAAAATAATTATGTCTAAATAATTGAATTGAAAAAGATTGTCTAAATAATTATTTTAAGAAACATTACATCTTTATGCATTGTAAAAGTACGTACATGCTGTAAATGTGCGTATAGGTAAACTCGTGTCATTAATCGATCTCATCTAGGTATCTAATAAAATCATTGGTTATAGCAATTCGAATAGTTTCTGTTGTTCCTATGTGAGTGACTTTTAGACAAAATTCTAATAAATACATTGACAATATTGCAATCCACCCTGTTTCTAGACGAGTTTGAAGTTCATGTGGCTATTTACCACAAGCTGACAAGAAGATTTCAACGTTCATAACCTTACCTTCTTCAGTAACCAAAAAGACGAACTATTCTTCACTTCACTCAGCACCCAGAGGTCAAACTTCATCAAGATCAGTTACTTTTTCATTTCCTTATTGAATTACAACATTTGGAAGTTTTTTCAATCCATCTAATGCTGCTGTCATTGTTTCTTTGTTAGAGACCGCGGCAATTTAATTAATCAGGCGATCTTAAAATGTTTGTAATTTAAAATTAACCAGTCATCGGACTTTCTATCATGCGTATTTAACGGTACTTAAATGGTATATTTCTATCAATGACTTTACGATCTACTCCATGTTGATAGGATTGGCGTTGGTCACATGTAGCTGATGTAGCATTTGTTAAGGTTCACATTATCATATACAGCTTTGATAGGGATATGATATAAACATGTATGTAAGATGAATAAAAGTTTAATGTTATGTTAAACTTGTCTTATGAATTCTATATCATGTTGATAATTTAAAACTAGTAACTGTTAGGAAGTTCCTCAGTGGGTAACAGATCACCATATATCGTCAAAACCAATCTCATGTATCGCATTTAGATTCTGAGTAACTATCGGTAATTCGTAACAATTTCGCAATAAATCGCCAGCATTCAAGTTTTATGGCACATCGGTCCCATTTCAACAAAGTCAGTAAGTTTTTCTCATGTCGATTCCTAGTCGCGTCCACTATGGCTAGTGTGGAGTAACGGACGACGCATGCGTCCCGCTCCTTCTGCGAACATTGCGCGCGCATTGTTTCTCGGAATCGCCACCCGCCGGACCACATAACACCGCGCTTAAGGTTCATTTTTCCTAACAAACCCGTCTCAAAGACGCCATCCCTCAATCCACTACTTTCAAGTGTATTTCCTTCCAACTATGACTTAGTAATTTCGACTTTAAGTGCTTCTAGCGAAAAGTATTGCGGGTGACAATGTGAAAACGATTTTAAACCGTATGACATAGGGTCTGAATATGTCAGATGCGTGTAAACTTGGAAGATTAATGTCCTAATGGATCGCTGTTCTGAAAGGGAGTTAGCTAGAAGTCTTTAGGAGTCAGTTTTGCTTGTGTTATGTCGACCCGAGACCACTGGCACGATCCGCGTTCTTCGGGTGACTTCCACTTTTTGCGTGAGTACATCCGCGTAGGTATAGCCCTAGCAATAATAAGGATTTTAAAATTAAACGTACTTTGTAAAGATTTGCTTACTTCATTATTCCCTGTGTTGTTAAATAATTAGTGTTAAGAGATGATGAATTATGATAAAATATTTCAATCTACTAACAGTTCTTCGTATTTTAAATTAATTTTTAAACTTATCTATTCCAGACCTCCACGGGCAGTTCTATGAGAACACGGTGGTAGTACAGTACGACAAGGACCTGCTCGAAGTATGGGATGAAGCGAAGAGATTGCGTTGCGAATGGTTCAACGACTACGAGAAGACCGCTTCCAAACCTCCCATGGTTATCGCTGATTTGGATGTTGTGCAGCTGGACTTTAGAGGTGAGGGTTTAAGATAAAAAATCTTATATTTTTTAAATAAGTCCCTCGGCAGTGTTTGTATTGTTCTAAAGTACTTCAAAAGTTTGATTTGAAGAGAGATGTTTCGAATCATCATAAAATTTTTTAATCATTTCTTCTGGTTACTTATGTAAAATCTGTAAAGTGGATATTCGTTATTTTTCAATTGATTTGCTAAAATCATTAAAAACTGTATACGCCGTCATATCAACAAAAAATCATCATCGTCATCAACAGCCTCTAATTGCCCACTGCTGAGCAAAACCTCTTATTGCAAGGAGAAGGTTTGAACATTAATCACCACGCTTGCTCAATGCGGATTGATGATTATAAAGATTTCCTCACGATGTTTTCCTTCACCGTTTGTCAGTGGTGTCTAGATAATCTTAGAAAGTACATATAACTCGGAAAAAGTCACATTGGTACTTGCCGTTGGTAGGTTTCGAACCTCATGCATGAGAAGCGGGCATCTTAAAAATTCCGATGATAAACAAAAATAACAAAAAATACCGTTGATAAACCCATGGAATTATGAAATAACTGTCCTAATCTTCTTATTAATGAGTTCCAAACGACTATGTCTAAATAAATCATATTTCTGCTTCTAATACTAATTTTCTTATGCATAGGTGACAACGTGGACTGCTGGATGGAGATCCAAGCAGGAAAAGGTCCTTGGGCGGCTCCTGTATCCGGCATCGTCCCTTTAGGGTCCACCCTAACACTGGTGGTCGCCATCAACGACTATCGAGGTAAATACCATAGCACCATAACATCACTATTTAACCGACTTCAAAAAAAGGAGGAGGTTCTCAATTCGACCGTATATATGCTTTTATTGCACCTTGAGTAAACTTATAAAGGTTTAATATCTAATCTTTATTAGTTTTAATACAAGTAATTAGTGCGTGCTGCGGTCGCATATATTATAGTGTGATAAATGTGTATTGATTGTTCGTGTTATCAACAACTTCACTATTTTGTAATTTATTTTCTGTTTAACTTTGTTTTTTATTGTATCTTAAGACTACTTCATGTTTTAAGTCCTTCAAAAACATTCTAAATGTAGGACCGTTTTGTTTTGTGAATAATATAAAAGTTTAATTTTAGAACTAATGAACCTTTTTCGTTGGTTCATATTGTGTTTATATTCTGTCTTACTTAAATATTCGGTATAATCATTGTTGAATTTTCGTAGCAAGACTCGTTTCAATGAGAATGGGAATCAAACGCAATGTTTACTTATTACTTCATCAGGTCGAAATTCAATCCACACTATAACCTATTTTTAAAATACTTAATATAACATCACGACTTTTACCCCCCAAGGGGTAGGCAGAGGTGCACACCGAATTAACACCCACTTTTCACTATTTATGTTATGAGTTCCATGTTATAGGGGGTGAGCCTATTGCCATATACCGGGCTCATTTCCAGACTCCGTGCTACTATTGTGATTTTTTTAAAAACCCTTTGCCCGACCCGGGAATCGAACCCGAGACCAACGACTCGGCCAACGAGGCAGTCAGAGCATAGGCCAACGAGAGTAAAATAATGTTAAAATAACATTGTAATGAAAATACCTATCACATCTCATGTAAATATACTGTTACTCGCTAACAACCATACGAGTGCGGTACTCATAATTACCCACAACTTTATAAAGGAACCGGGTTTAGAATTGCCCATTGTTTTCTTAGGAAACGCAAAAAAAAAATCATATTATTCATCAATTTTTTTATTACTGTCATATCTAAAGCGTGTAAGTTTACCTCATTAGATTTTTTAGTGCGTGAGACCATAAAATGAGCATATGTCCGAATATGGTTTTATAGTACCGAATTATGATGTTTATATATAGAAATTTTTATTCTATGTTTGTCAAATATACGTCAAGATTATCGCCGGATGTTATTAAATATAATTTGTTGACTATTAAAAATAGTTAATTGATTGTAACTGCGATAAATTCGTATAAATATGTACTAAAGTCTGTCACAAGATGGGATTGACGTTGATATTATGAGAACGTCATGTTTTTATGGTAGGTAAAAGGTGGCTATAAAAAGTTGTTAAGTTTACTACCGCTTGATGGCGATACAAGAAAATACATTGTTACTACTGCGAAATCTTCAAATGACTGCACGGTTGGTGCGGTGGCTGGGCAACCGGCTGCCGTGCAACGTGTCGCGGGTTCGATTCCCGCACGGAACAACACTTTGTGCGATCCACAAATTGTTGTTTCGGGTCTGGGTGTCATGTGTATGTGAACTTATATGTTTGTAAACGCACCCACGACACAGGAGATAATCCTAGTGTGGGGCAATGTTTTTATTTAAAAAAAAAATGTGTTTGAAAGGCTATATCCATACTTAATTTTGGTTCAAGTTTCAAAATTTCCATTTTGGTCTGATAGGAATAATTATTCGAAATAAATGATCACAATCAATTTAAGCAGGTATGTACAACGTCGGCCGGTTAACGTTAGTCATAAGGCATAGGTATCACTTAATTATGTTTGAAGAATGGTATGAAAGTACACAAAGATTTAGTTTAAAGTCTGGTAGCGGTTCTAACGTAATCCTAAGTTATTTGGGATTGACAAAATATATCTTCCAGAATTCTTCATATCAGACTCTCTATCAGACTTCATCTTATTAAAAACTCTTTAATCTCTCATGTTATTTCTTATAACTACTTCGTTGGTCAAGTGATCCAGATCGGGCAAAGTACTATAGGGTGTTTAAAAAAATCTCAGTAGTAGCCCGGAGTCTATTGTGCCCGGTATAATGGCAATAGACTTACTCTCTATTACATGGGACTCATAACATATATAGTGAAAGGTGGGTGTTACATTATACAGTGGCATTAAGTGCCGTAATGTGCACCTCTGTCTAACTCTTCGGGGATGAAAGGCGTGATTTCTTATGCAATCTATTTGTCTTGTCTTTGATCATTCTCTTCTTGTCTATCCAATTTTCTTCTCTCCAATCAATTTCCTAATACAAACATTCTGTAAGACAATGTCGGCAAAGATAAAGCGTACTTAGGCCAATAAACACCGCCATACAAAGTAAATGATGATGGCAATAAGAGTACCAGACGCTTCAAAGCAATCTTCTTAATTACTATTGTACATGAACTAGCTAAGCCTTTTGATAAGGTAGGATGCTAAGCTTTGAGAACGTACGTTAAAAAATAAATGACAAATTAAATTTTATAAAACATAACATAATATCACGCCTTTTTGGTGGGCACATTAAGGCACTTAATGCCACTGTCTAATGTAACACCCACTTTTCACTATTTATGTTATGAGTCCCATGTAATAGGAAGTGAGCCTATTGCCACATACCGGGCACAATTCCAGACTCCGTGCTACTACTGAGAATTTTTATAAAACCCAGTAATACTTTGCCCTACCCGGGAATCGAACCCGAGACCCCTCGCCGCACTTGCGACCACTCGGCCAACGAGGCAGGAAAGTAATATTCACTAACTTCTTATTGTGTTGGTGGCACAAGCAGTAATGTTTATGTCATGCGGTAGCTTTTAAGGTAATGAGGAAAATGTTTAATGACTACTTAGCGGTTACACTACCTAAATAGAAAACTATAAGTAGAAAATAGTTGGAAAACCAAATACGTACGAACTTGGTTCTACTATAGCTTCGTATCTCCATATGAAAGTTCAACTTTGGAGGTCTCATTTTTTAATTGATTCGATACGACCTTCAAGCCTTTAAGAAAAGAGCGTATTCCTTTTTTGACGCCGGCAACCGTAACCTGTGACTCCTCTGGTGTTGCGGGTGTCTATGGACGGTTACCATCAGATGACCCGACTGCTCGTTTGTGTCCTAACGGGTAACCGGGGCTCCGACTCGACGTGCAGGAGAATGAACGGGGTGGTTTTTAGTCAGTAAGAGTCTGACACTCCCTCCCGCCTTACCCAGGCGGGAGCAGTCATTCGATGATTTTCCCCCCTTAAAAAAAAATGCCATAAAAATAAAATCTAGCAAAACTTTTACCAAAAACGTCTTTGTCAGGAAGGCCATTTTTCAGCAGTGGTCGTATTAATGAGGTAGTCCATTTAGAGCACCTGTGCGAATAGCACCTGAACGAATAGCACCCAACCTAGTCCACGAAGGGCACCTATCAAAATATTTGGCAGGTGCTCTTCGTGGATGCAAATTTGTTTGTATGTATTTATCCACGAATGGCACCTACGACTCAGAACCGTAGTGCTGTGATATATACACCCGTATTTGGTAAGCAGGACGTTAAATAAACAATATCGAAAATAATACATATACATTAATAATTTATATTACACAAACAGTACCTACCCTACAGCGCTTACGCCAATTTCGAAATCCACCATGGGTTTCTCTTTTCTTATGCTCAGGACCATATACCAAGCAACCTACCTGGGATGCGTGTGCTACGGGGCACCTGTCTGAAAATACTATTTTTATTGAGGCCTAGCTCTTTACCTCTCTTTAGTAGCGCCTTTTTAAAATGGAAGTAACACCCTTTTACTACGACTTTGGGAAATACAGATAGAATTCCTCTAACTGCAGCTTCTTCAAAGTCACTTGTAAAAAAATCTATAGACATGTCTGGTATCGTGGAAAATGTTTACGGCGTCGACAGTGGAGGGGTTATAAAAGTAGACATTATTCACCATATTCATTGCCTCTCTTATATTAATACTCTTAATTAAACCTCTTTTCTTCAATATCTTCAGTATTTTTGTAAAACGAATCAATCAAAAAATCATATATAAAACATATATCAGTTATGTGACATTTTCACATAATGTATGGTAAGTTTTTTTTGATTTAATGTTTATTGAATTATAAAAATGGAGCCTGTTCCCGGTCTTAGTTATCAAAATACAGCTATTAGCTACATTTCCAGTAGAAAAGGAGCCCCTATACTAATTTATGAAAACAGACAATATAGAAAGTTTAAGAAATAAATCAAAATATTTTATAAGAGCACCACATAAAGACGAAAACTAAGTGGGTCCTATGTGTGGGCTGTTATACTTGATTCCAATAATAGGTGTGGCAAGAGCGCCTAGACGCATGGAAATTTGTTCTAGGTTCCACAAGATCCATATAATAAGCTACACCTGACGAAACAATTAAATTATTTAACATAGTGTTACCTTCATATTGCCAGAGATCACACACCCAGAGTATGTGTTGGAAGGACTGCTCATTTTGCAACTCCACTGTCGAACATTGGCACCAAGGTGAATCACCAAGTTAAAATAAGAACAACTTGCTTTTAAAGTTGCTGTGGCCAGTAAGAATTTGGCCAACACAGTGATGCACCTCCAACCGCTCATGCACGGATGGGAAGAACTGATATAGGTGGCGGCCCGTGATAGAAGATTCCCATCTACACTGCCATTCAGTTGTAAATCGAGACTAAAAGCTGGCCTAGGAGTAGTTTTACCTATCTATCACCTATTGCGGCTGTAAGAAAAGAGAGACCCCAGGTGGCTTTCAAAATTGGCGTAAGCGCTGTACGGTAGGTACTGTTTGTGTAATATAGATTATTATCTAATATTCATATGATTTTTTTTCGATACCTATCTTTTATTTAACGTCCTGCTTACAAAATACGAGTGTGTATATCCCAGCACTACGGTTCGAATCGTAGGTGCCCTTCGTGGATAAATACATAAAACAAATTTGAATCCACGAAGAGCACCTGCCAAATATTTTGATAGGTGCCCTTCG